CTTTTTGAAATCCGTGAGTTTCCGTATTCCCATGTATTTTTTATAAATTAAATTAAATTACCCAACAATAAAATAAAAAGTAAGTATGATATGTAATTTCCGATTCGACCAATACCTATGTTGAGGATGTAAAAACTGAAATTTTGAACAAAAAATCGCTTGGAAACTAAACTGCATTTGTTTCAATATTTCATATTTTTATCCATTAGTTAACTCTTTTGTAAATCTTTAGGAAAGTCAATGTTAAATAAACAAAAAAAGTAAATAGGCATAAGTAAAATTAAAATGATCACAAAGATTTCTTTTAGGGTAATACACTAATACCTAACTAATAAGACTATAATAATATTATTTTTACTCTTATACAGTAAACACATTTTACTGTACATAAGTATATTGAATTCTTGAAGTAATTTAATAGTTATGATGTAGTATATACTATACCTATCAAGTATAAAGTATAAAAATAAAATAGAAAATGAAAAAAAAATATTTTTTATTTATTTATTTATTTTTATCTATTGCATTTTTCTGATGTTAATTTAATTACCTAATAAAAACAGTCTAGATACATTTATAAGTTTATAACCTTCTCCTAGATTGGAGGTTTGAAAATAAAGTAATAATTTCTTAAAAATCTGCTTTACGCACTTGTTATCTCCGGTTAAATTGTCATTAATGCTAACGCAAAACGTCTTTCTATTGGTATTAGATATTTGCACATTCAAAATTGGCCCTCTAGTAGCATTGAGTTGTCCATCTCTGCAGGTATAGGTAATCATTAGGATTTAGGGCATAGAACTATAGAAAGTCCGATGAGCTAAAATTGACAAATATTAAATATGCAATCAAATCCATAAAATAATCGTTTCACCTTTTAAATTACAGAGGTACCTACCGTCGGAGGTATAAAACATACCCACCTAATAACAAAAAAATATTAATACTGTCAAAAATTCATAACTTAAACAAATAAAATCACTACCTAATACATATAGCAAAAAAATAATGATATGAATTTTTAACCCATATAACATTATAATATTATACCTATATTCACGTATTGACATATATGTAGTATAATATAACGCAAATGCATAAAAATTCAGTCAAATTGAATCATAGATAATTGAGCGAAGTCAAAATATTGCGATATTTGTTATAAGCGTGAATCTGCGTAAAAATAATATAATAATAAAAATACTAAAAGGTACGTACCTACCTAACTCATTGTTGCTGGCTGAAAATAAATAAACAATCAAACACGATAACCACGGATACTAGCAGGTCATCGGTATATCGACGCTGAATAATAAACAAATTTAATTATTAATTTAGCTAAAAAAAACTGGGCACTATATTTAACAATTTTTCTTTTTGGAATTATTTCGCGTCGATTTATATAGTTTCTCCAAAATAAACTACAACCGAAAGCGATCACGTTCTGATGGAGGTGATGACCATTTATCAGAAAACTGTCAAATATCCAGGAAGTCGTATAGGTAAAACTAATAACAAAATTATTAAATCCGGCGATATTGATCATTGTACAAATTATTGACCTATATGGCTAAATCTTACTATCTCTTTCCATAATCCAAAATATTTGAAAAACGATTAAAACAACGTTTGGTTGATTTTGTTGAATATAAATAATTTTTTTTTTACAAACCAATTTGGATTTTGGAAAAATAAATCAACAAAATGTCCACTGTTATTAGCTTCAAATTTTATTCATTCTAGTAGATGTTGACAATGACAATAATTAGGTAGGTAATTGGCAGGGGCGGATTGGCCTATCGGGAAATCAGGAATCTTCCTGATGGGCCGGTTCTTGTGAGGGCCTGCAGGGCCACTATAATTATTACAATATAATTACAAAAAAAATTAATTTTTTATAAATTAAGCATAAAATATATTAAAAATCAAATACCTACGAAGGTATTATTTTTAATATCTTAAACTATTGCAATTCATAGTAGGAATTTTGGTATTTACACTATTATCCCTCCAATTCATGCTAATGTATTATTTAAAAATCTGTGGTATTTGTATTTTAGTATTTATATTTTATACTCTATGGTAGAATTTAGTTACGTGATAACATTGATAACCTTATCTTATCATTATTTGTATTTTTTTTTATTTTGAACTTTTTACACAAACGAGTTACTGTACTTACAGAAGTGTGTTTAGTGTACAAATTCAATTGAACTGTGCAATTTAAATTATGTGTGATGCTGGTGAAAAACGAAAGAAGGGTGGAGCTGAAAAGGTACGAAAAAAAAAAAAAAAACGGTTAATGGAACCTATTTACCTTTAAAATTGTTTTAAATTTTCAATCCTTATATATTTCTATACATGTTGAACATTTTATAAATTTTTAACAACAAATGAATTATTAAATTTTGATAAATCTTGTCAAAATTCAAGCTTTAATTGCTTATAAAAAAAATGTATGGCTATGTATATTTAATATTTTTCAACTGATATTATAACAATATATCAGGAGCCTTGTATTCAATTTTCAGGCTTTTTGGCCCAACAAATACAATTTTATTGGTATTTATAGAAAAAAAAAACTAAAAAAATTAAAATTTGAAATGGTCCGTTAAAACATCAAAAAGAGATAATTATTTTCAAAATTGTATGGTGTATACAAAATGCTAATATAAATATTCAGTGAAATTTTCAAGTATCTACATTTTACAGTCATTCGTTTTTTAATCACAACAAAATAAGAAAATCATTACATGAGAAATCGAGTGAATATCAAATGTTGTAAAAATTTGAATTTCAGAAGGTCATAAAAATATAATTTGACTTTCTTGTTGACATTTTTTTTTTCGATAAAGGTAGACAAACTTATGAGGAATTTTGTATTAAAAATCTGTTAAAAAATTTACGAATTTATAACTCAAAATAATTTGCAAACTTTCGTCATTTTTACGTATTTTGTATTATTTTACGTATTATATTTGAACTTTAAATGCTTATAGAAAAAAATTGTGATTGGATTTTTAATTTTTTTCATCTGCCTTTGAAACAATATATAGGAGCTTTTTATTACATTTTCAAGCTTTTTAACCAACAAATAAAATTTTATTGATATTTATAGAAAAAAAAAACTGAAAATGTCAGTAAACAGCTCAAAGTAAGTCAAAATGTTATGGTGTATAGAAAATACTAACATTCGGTCAAAATTTCGTGTACCTATATAGTCTTATTTATTTTGGAGTTGCTTCAAAAACCAAAATCGATTTTCTCGAAAACAGATTTTGCGTAAAAATTTCCCGATTTACTTAATTTTTCTTTTGTTTTTCTCGGCACTTTTGAAAACCACCAGGACATTTTTATTTTTGACCCCCCCCCCAAAGTACCAACTAGATTAACTTTCCTATAAGAAAAGTGAATCTAGTTGAAGAAAATCTAAGTATTTACTATTTTTACTATCCTAAAATTTGATGACAGACGCAAAAATAAAAAATTAAATTAAAATTAAAAAATTAAAAAAAACACATCATTGTAAAATCAATAAATTCATCACTTCGCTCAGAATCTAAAATGTAATAAGATCAAACTTCAAGTTCGAGTTAGAACAGTCTGAACAGGTTAAACTTATCTGACTAACTCTAAACTGTTATAACTTTAATTATAGGTACCTATTATATATTTTACTAATTTATGGGTGGAACTAAACAAATTTTGAAATGTGAGTAAAATGATGAAAATTTGTTTTTCGGTGGGGGGTTACATTTGCGGTACAGGGCCGGTTTGATCCATATTTCCCGAGCCGAAAAAATTCGCCAATCCGCCCCTGGACTAATTGGTTTGTATTCAGATTAAAAAAAATGCTTTACATAAAAAAATATTAAAATATTAATGTGGTATTATTGGTATTGCTCAAGTTGTGTTTATTTCATATTATTTTTCAAATAGATTGTAAGTAGTTAAAATTGAAGTAATGCAAACTTGTGAAAATCGAGGAACTTGTTATTTCTTATTTACATAAAATATAGTCTTATATTAATCCTAATATTTCAGGAGATATTTGTTTTGTTGACGATACGTTATTTATAAATTATGGTTTAAATTGAACATAAAAGAAATTGTATTATTTAGTGAATCAATGTACCTATTAGTAATACAAAAACTTGGTTAAATAAACATTTTCTAGAACTGAATATTAAAAAATCTAAATATATGTTTTTTAGAATAAATTAGTAAAAAATTCGATTAAAGAATATCATCGTACATGATTTTAGATAGTTGAATAATTTATAAATTACCATTTTTAATGTGAAAAAGCTACTAAATTAAAATATTTAGGTATTATTTTTGATCAAAACCTTAAATGGGTATTAGATAGGTACCTAATCTATTATGTTTGTAATTTAATTAGAAAACTATTTGATAAATCCAAAGTATAAGCCGAGTACAAAATAATAATTTACAGTTTATCATTTATGTACCTAATACTAGGCGTAAAATGAAATCAATCATCAGACATACATTTATTCAACAGGGTCCAATTAATATTTTGGTGCTAAATTATGTAAATATTTTTAATTTGATTTAAGAAAATTTAAATAATTTGAACATTTTTAATTTTATATAAATTCTTTTTTACTTTATGATTATTCTATGTACCTAGTTTAGTTAGAATATTCAACAATTAGTTTAACATTTTTCGTTTCATTAGGATGTTATAATATATTTATACAATTTATAATGAACTTTAATTAACTTTCATTATTTAATACTTAGAAGTCCCAGATAAAGAAAAAATTGTTTTTGAGCATGCAGCGTATTTACAAATAATTAAATAACATTATCTCCCCCGACGGGACCCACCTTTCCGTGGTGGGGGGCTCATGGGCCAATCACTGGTCCGTGCCAAGAGGTTCCACCCTAGAGCCAGCCATGACCTTGATTGGTTGTGGCTGGCAGGCCCGATCCACCTGCATACACTTGCAAACGGATCCCTGCCAGCAGGTAAAATGGACGGAAGGAAAACCTTAAACCACAATATGAATAGCAAAAGTAAAAATATTGTTACAACTCCAGGAGGACAGGACCACCAGGAGTCGTTGGTAGTAGGTGGACCTGGACACCTGGTGTAAAAATCAGGTCCAACGGAGCGGGCTTGCTACTTTCGTTACCAGTCAACCGTGACCAATCGGATGAAGGGGTGTCCAGCATAGACCCGGATTCCGACAATAATGCTTCTGCTGAGACAGACGTGCCTCCGGGTACGCACCCAAGAGATATGACGTCATATATTATACATCATAGAGTATGAGAAAAATTATGCCTGAAAGTCGAAGACACTACATTAATAAAAATCATTTTGGACTTATTTAAGGCCTATGATACCGGTGAGAACGTAGCTGTAGCTACCAATCTGACCTTACCTGACTACAAGCGAAAACATCGTATGAAGATGATAACCATAATAGAAAATTTTCTCGAACCTCAAGAGCCGCACTCGATATCCATCATGTTATCGGTAAGTTCCTAATACACTTCAACGAGCCTAGACAAAATAACAAAATATACAAATATCTATACAGTCGACATCAGTGTTAAACTATTTTAGAGCCTAACGAAAGCGATGATTGTATTGATTTTACAATGGTGTATTCTGTGTTGAGAATAGATAAAAAAAACATTGTTTATAGATAAGACACAAATAATTATATATATAAATACATTTATCAAGATTTCTAGATACAGACCAGGTATATAGGAAATACGGTAGATAAAACTAATTTTTATTATTTTTGAATAACTAATTTACTTATTTACCTATACTAATTGGATAGAATAATTGTTCTGATAGATCTGTAACGTATGTTACATCATTACGTTTATTTTATAAGCATCATAATATGCACATTAGGCATATTATGCGCTGACTATAATAATATATTAAGCCCCTCCGGTTTAGGTGACACATATATATTTTATGATTGTAAGGCTCCGGCCAATATCCCTATGTAAGAGAATATCAGTTCTCCGCGAGTCCATCACGTGCACCTGAACTCCGTACAATCCTACATTTTTGGTAACTTTGTTCGTAAATTGTAAGTTATAATAAATAATTTGTTTGTATTAATAATAATTTAGATCAATCGTTATTTATTTGTAATATTAAGATCCTAATACCATTCGTGCTCCCGAGCTACGGTAAAAATATATTCAAAAGAATTAATTTCTTCCCTGAATATCTTATATTTAACGGGTCATCCCCGACCACGTTACATATTGGTGGAGGCGCCGGAGCTCTTAAGTAGTTGAAGTTACAGATATTTACGATTGGTTTAGATTTTTATTTTGTTATTAGTTATTAAGTTTAGTTAATTGAAGCGTAGGAAAATAAAATTAAAGTGTAGCCGTGTTAAGAATAATTGAAGTTTTTTTTTTATTATTTAAGATTAATGATATACATGATATATATTAAGTATTAAGAATAAGAGTAAAAGAATTGAAAGAATTACGGGATTAGAAAATTTATGTATAGGTACCTAATAATTTTACTTTAAATTAAATTAAATTTTTTGGATAGTTACGAGATTTTAAGTTTTAAGAAAGGAGTAAATTACATATAGGGATTTTGTTATCAGAGAAACTATATAGTAAAAATAAAAATTAAGTAATTGAATTTTTTGTTTGGATAGTTACGAGATTTTAAGTTTTAAGAATAGGAGTAAATTACTATTACATATTAGTACATAATAGAGAAATTATAAGAGAATTATTTTATTGTAAGTGAACATAAGCGATGTTGCCATAAATAAAAGTATTTAATGGACAACAATAAACACAGTTTAAAAATGGCGTTTAACCATAAACCCAACATTTTCTCAGAAAAAGAGAACGAGGATATAGATAAATTCATAAAAAAAATTGAAAACTAGTAGCTGTCGTGAACGAATGGAACGACGAACACAAAGTAATTATTCTACAACTATATCTTAAAGACTCAGCAGAAGATTTTTTTGAACAACTAAAATCAAAAAACGAAAATATAACATGGAACGAAGTCAAAAGTGAATTAATAACAGAATTTACATTAGTAGGAAATAAATACTTACTAAGGGCAAAACTGGAAAATCAGAAACTAGCAAAAGGAGAAACATATAAAGAATTCATAATTAAAATAGTAGGCATATGTTATAAAATAAACAAGAATATGACCGAAGAAGAAATATGTGAACACATTCTAAAAGGAGTACCCAAAGAAACCTTTCAGTTAATAAGGTTAGCAGATAATACATCGATCGCAAGCATTAAAAAAACTCTAGAGAAACTAGAAGTAACAAATCTATTGAGAACGGAGGACAAGGTAAATGGAGAAGTAGAGAAATTGACTAGAGAAATGGAGGTTTTAAAAAATCATATAAGTCAAATTAAAGTTGGACAAACCCAAAATAACATTCCCAATAGTATCAACAATTATCAGAACGAAGAGCAAACTATATATAATAATAGATTTATAATAGAAATCAACACTACCAACCACCTATATTTAATAATCAAAATGAATATTATCAAAATAATCCAAGACCAAACTTTTATCCGAATTACAACTATCTCACACATAATAACCAGATGACAAACACCCAGTTTCCTAGACCAAACTTTTATCAAAATTATAATTATATTAATACAAATAATAACCAATTAGCCAACACACTACGCCCTACACAAAGTAATCAGGCAACAATTCCCCATACTAATTATAATTATTTAAATCAACAAGGGCCACCGATATGTTTTCTGTGTGGAATTCCGGGACACATAAAGAGAAACTGTAATACCTTTGTACAAAAAAAACTAATAGTTCCGCAGATAACTGGGTCTGCACAGGAACACCAATACATTACCAGTAAGATACCTTTAAATATCGTCAAAAATACAAATACAAATACTATTTATACTTATTATGATAATAATAAAGAAAAAATCAAAATAGAAATACAAGGAAAAATAAATGACCAAACTACTACGTTATTATTAGATACAGGGGCGAGTGTAACTGTTATAAACAAAAATACTATTAAATGTAATAAATTAACTTCCGAAAGCGAACTATACCTTGAGACGGCGAACAATTCTAAACTAAACATTCTAGGAACAACTGTGGCTCAGATAAAAATAGGAACCATAGGAATAAATCATAAAATAATAATAGTTGACAATCTATGTACACCAGTAATAATAGGATTGGACATAATGAAAAAAATTAACACAATTTTAGATTTAAAAAAGTCGAGCGTGTAACAAGTACGCGGGGATGAAGTGAAACTTCTTTCAGTCATTCAACTGATATGAGGTATTGGAATAAAATAAAAAAAATACACTTTACAATTTTATATTTAATAGAACTGTTTTTTTTTATTATTATTTATTTTTAACTAATGATACAATGAGCTTATGATAGCTGAAATAAGTTATGTACGTTTTTGATTGTACATTATTAAGATATCGTGTGAAAATAGCATCTATTGTGGTTCCTGACCGCGTTGTTGGAATTTTTGGATCATTATTCATTGATAAATTGAGATGTACACCACTAACGCTATTTTGCGATTTTTTTTCATTTTGTCGATTTCTGTATTGTCGCGCACGTTCTGGCGTTCTGCATCAGATACTGGACTTGGTGATAACGTTGATATAGCATCCGGGTTATTTTGTAATATATCTTCACGTTTCCGAATACGATACGGGCGGGCACGTTCTGCATCTGACATAGGTCCAGGTGACGACATTAATAAACCACTAACGCTATTTTGCGATTTTTTTTCCTTTTGTCGATTTCGGTATTGTCGTGCACGTTCTGCATCAGATACAGGCAGATGAACTTCAGTTTGAACGACTACTCGGTTACTTTGACTAGGTTCTTTCGTAATGCATGTACCAGAAGCTTCGTCAGCAATGTTGCCAATTGAATCTGTAGTTTTAAATTTTTTTTTTCGTTAACTTGATCTTAACACCATCTTTTGGCATGTTTGATTTAGCTAAGTTTTTAGCTAAGTTAATAAATATAAAAATAATTAATATTTTAATAATATAATAGACTACCGGGTGTTAATAAATTACTATTACATTATATAAGCAGTTGTATTTTAATAGCACATTAAGCCGATATGGCTGACTAGTTAAATGTACAATATTTTTTTGTTTTAATAACTCACAAATATAATACCGATAAAACATACAGAAACAGAATTTATATATAAGTAGTTAATAATATAATAATTATGTAAAATGTAATAGTACTCACACAACGTAGAACGACAAACTGCTGGGAAGAGTTGAAGGCTTTAGGCTACTAAAATAAAACAAACCACTGGCAAGGGTTGAGAACGTAATTGTCTATTGACCAAACTTTAAGTTAAATAAAATGACAATCTTTTCTGTTGTAATAATAATTCACAAATATAATACCGATAACATAGATAACATAGATAATATAGAAACACAGAATTTATATATTATATAAAAAAATCTAATTAATATAATTAGTTGTTATTACATAGGTACTACAAAAATAATAAACTACGTTTCTATGTTACCGGTTAACCGATGCACAGCTGGTCCGTGACGGCGGCTCGTTATTTATTTGTAATATTAAGATCCTAATACCATTCGTGCTCCCGAGCTACGGTAAAAATATATTCAAAAGAATTAATTTCTTCCCTGAATATCTTATATTTAACGGGTCATCCCCGACCACGTTACAGAACAATTTAAAAAATAATGAATATTATTTATGAAAAATGAATATGATTTAAATAAAATGTACCTAGATAAGTAAATACATCATTTAATATAACCAATAGATAATTAATGTATTCAAAATAATTCTTCGATGTTCAATTTATATTCTGTACGTATAGGTATCATCTCTGGTGCAAAAGTAAATCTGGTTGGTGCATTTGGGAGATCAAAATTTAAAATTCACAGTAGTTTTTCTAAAGCGTGGGGAAAAATTTTTTTTAAAAACGAGAATATCTACTCAAAATTTATTTTGGTTTTTGGTGCAACTATAAAAAAATTAGCATAGCATTATACATTAGATACACTGTACATTTATTTTAGCATTTTGTATACACCATCCAATTTCGAAATATGTAGGCTCGTTTCTAGTTATTTATAGTTATATTTTGAATTTTGAATTTGTTTAGTTCATTTTTTTCTTTAAATGTAAATACAACTTTATCGTTTGCTCAAAAATATAACACACGGTTCATATAATAGCAGTAAAGAACATTTATAGGTACGATTTTTTTTTATACAATTTTAAAGTTTTGACTTTGACAACATTTACCAAAATCTTGAAAATTAACAATTTATTTTGTAGTTAAAAATGTATAAAATGTATAAAATGTTCAATGTTTATGGCTAATGATTGTAAATTTAAAACAAGTATTCTCATGAATAGTTCATACTGCTACCAACAAATTTAAAAAATATATAAACAGTTTTTTTGTTGTATACATTTTAAGTTTATATTTGGACGAAATTAGATATTTAAACGAAAATAAGGATTTTATAGTTTTAATATTAGAACTCAGATTTAT